AGTTTTAGTATCTCCCGAGGTGATTCTAATGTATAGCCAGGTTTGAGAAGATCAGCTCACATGAGGTGCAAGAGAAAGAATTGGAGGGTAGAGAATGGGATTACCTGCGGGTTTTCATACCTGTTGCCCACAGAACAGACAGAAAATTCTTTGGCAGTCAGTACCAGTCTCTGGCCAATCAGGAGCTGTCTGATTTCTCTAGTCTCAACTCCTGCCATCCTCTCCTAAAAATCTCACCTCCAGCTCCTTACCTGTCTGTGACACACCAGGGGCCCAAGGACCTTTGCCTGGGCCTGGGCTGGAGGGCACCTTCATGACTGGTGCTGGGTGCTCAGAGAGTATCCATCTGAACACCTGGGAAAAGATGCAGGTGTCACAGGGAGTTCTGGCCCACAGAAGGCCTGGACAAGACCTTGTCACCATGTTCTGTGTCACCCACTTATAGCCTTCAGGGTCCTGGTATAGGGAGGGAAAGGGAAAAAGAGTAAGTTTTTCTGAGAGAAAAGATCTGGGATGCCCCAAGACAGTCCAAATAGTCATTCCTTAAGCTTTTTATGTGCTTGTTTTCTTCCCTCTCTAGCTCCCTTTCCTTTTAAACCCTTTCTTTCCTTCTCTTCTTTCTTTTATTCTTTAAAAAAAACTGATGATGCCCCCACTAGGCATTGTGTTAGACACACAATTTGTTAGGTGATAGACACACCTAATCATAAATGAATAAGATACAGTCCTGGTTGGGTAGCTCCCTGTGTAGTGGGGCAGATGGACAGATAGTCAAACAACTATGAGCCAAGGTGATGAGAGCTGTAATTAACATGTGCGGGGAGTCCTCGGGATTAAACAAGAACTTTTGAGTATCAGTCTCCTGTTGCCTTGGTGTGTTCAGATGTTGTCATTTGGTGTCACTTGGGAGTGGTTGCAATGAAGTCACCAGCCTGTAAGAACTGACGATGATCATGCAGCTGGAACAGTGGGACAAGGAGCCTGACCTGTCCTCAGGGAAGCTGGTCCAGAGACACTGAGAGGAACTTGTGAAGTTCAGGAGGCAGAGGTGTCCTCTCAGAGGGGAGGGTATGGATAAGGCTAATGTCTGAGGGCAGAATGTGGTGGACAGAAGGGGCCAGAATAATGTGCTCATTAAGAGCACTGGTTGGGGAGTCAGATATTCCTGACTTTGTTTCCTTGTTTGTTCAGCTGATAGCTGTCTTAACAAGGTAGACGTATTTGGGAGAGAAAAGGTTATTGTGTAATGAAAGCACAATGGACTATAGATGTTATAGTTGAAATCAGAGATGGAAATAAGAAACTAACCTGCATGTAATGAACCATGTGCCAATAAGTCACTCACTCTGTATGTTTCTGAGTTTTGGGTACAGGTCAGAGAAGGAGCTGACTCATCTAGGCTGGCACAGCCAGGGTGAACTTAGTTGAAAGATGAATTATAATTAATAGTGGTGAATAATAATGGATAGACGTGGTAGTGTGACTGTGTACATCTGACATAATGCAATTGATATGATTGACTAATGTCTGTAGAAATTGCATTCAAGTCAACTGTGTAGAATTCTCCTATTGCATGTTGTTAAAACACTAGACATGAATTTCCTTCTGAAATGTAATCACACTAAAGAGTAGGACAAATCTTATATCACACATGTAATTAAAATATGGTTTTTGATAAAACATTATTATTACAGTGAATATGTCTGCTCATCCTGCTACAGGAAGGCTGCGGTTGTGACTCCCACTTGGAGATAAGGTATAACAGGGAGAAAATGACAATACCTTCACAGCAACGCAAGCATTCTTTTTTCCACTGGGACTTTGGAGGGAGTGAGGAAGGGAGACTGGCAAGAGCATGAGAACAGAGGCCTCCTTTGCACTAACATTGTCTCCATCATCACAAGCAATTCATTCCTTGCTTTTACTTGATTGCTGCCTTTGATATGGAAGCAAAATGTTTCTACATGACCTTTTGCCAATAGCAAAGCCAATGTTTAATCTTTAATGATTTTCCCAGACCAGGATCTTTTGCTGTGTGTATTAAACCTCCACTGCTGCCTCCCCAATCCAAGGATGTGAGAAACCAATGAGATAGAGGTATTTTTGTATCTGATGCTGCTGCTTTGCAAGCAAATTAGGGAACTGTCATGAATGGACCCACTAGAGCAAAAGCTCCCTGAGAATAGCATTTTATTTTTTCTTGTTCACTATTGTATCTTCAGTGCCTATCATGGTGTTTGTACATAATAGTTGCTCAGTAAATAGTTTTTGAATCAATTAGTTATTAGCTGTTGGATCTGGGACTGGGTCAAAGTGGTCTCAAGATGAGAATCAGAGCATCTTTCCAACCACTGAGCTCTCACCTGTTGGGGTCTACTCTTAGGGGCAACATGGTAAGCTTTATAACTTCTGGCTGTCTTTGACTATCCTGGTGTTTCAGGTCCAAATTTTATTGGCTGGTCCAACTCCTATTTCTTCTGCCTTCTGAGTGGACTCACTATCCTCAGAAATTGTTAGACACGTTTCATGGACAACTTGGATTTGACAGGTGCTTCTGAGATGCCAACCCTCATTCTATAGTCCTTGGCAGATGACAGGCTTTACTTTTTCAAAGGCTGAATCCTTTCTCGTGTAGCTGTTGTACAGTTAGGAATGTGGCCCATGAATTCCAGCCACTATCCATATAGTGATCCTTAGTTTCCGTATGAGTGGAGTGGTTGCAACCAAATTTTGGGGTTTCATGACTCTGGGTCCACATGGCAAGGCCTCACACACATGGTGGCAATTCCAACCTCCCAGCCAAACTTACCCATCCTGAACATTTTTTGAGGCATATTTTCAGTAAGACTTGACACTGTTTCTGTCCCATGGTGAAGTGCTATGCAAAAATTTCTCAAGTTTTGAGTGATAAGCATCTTGTGGTGATGAATTCCAACATGGCAGCTGTGGTTCCTACCATAGGAAACTGTGTTGAGCTGGGGAGTAGATCAGACCTGGTCAGAGTATGTCTCACATCAAACTCCTTGAGAGCCCTTTTCTTTATTAAATTCCAAAGATTTTAGGAACTCTGAGACTGTGGATGTTGAAGTGAAAATAAATATCCAGGTGATATTTTCCCAGGACAGAAAAAAATTTTTTTTTGATTCAATGAACCCATAAAGTGCTACATAGATTCATTTTTTTGGTGGTATACCCAGTCCCACAGTGATTTCTCCCACATTTTCAACTGGAGTTTAGTTCAGTTTCTATGGTATTCCTTTGGCTTATTCCAAGAACCATCTGGATGATTTTGATGGACTGTTTCAACCATCTAGCAGACAGAGTGAGGCTCCTCTCAAAGGAGATGATTTCAACCTAAAGGGCAATTAGCTTTCATATTTTAGGTCCTAAATATGGGAAAGAAAAATTTTAAAAAGTTTTACCAAGTTATAACTCAGACGGTTGGGCTCTTAGCTCGCAAATTTAAAAACTCAAACAAAAATAAAAACAAAACACAACTTTATACAGTCCAGAATAAATGTTAAGTGGAAAAGAAGCATTGTTCTCTTCAGATCTCTTGACCCTTAGCTCGCAAATTTAAAAACTCAAACAAAAATAAAAACAAAACACAACTTTATACAGTCCGGAATAAATGTTAAGTGGAAAAGAAGCATTGTTCTCTTCAGATCTCTTGACAAGTCTCAAGGGAAGCTAAGTGGCCGAGACCATGGCTCACAGAGCTGTGTGGACCTGCAGTCTCCCACGTGCAGAATGAGGTTATGAGGAGCATCTACCTTATCGATTGTTTGGAGAACTACATGAGTTCATAGTGTTTACTTATGAGTTCCTAGCAGCTGATAAGCACTAGTAAGTTTTTGATCTGACAATTATTGTAATTTATAACCCTTGCAATACTTTTCATTTTCCTTTTCCTTTTTTTTTCTTATCGCCTCATGGTCCACACTCTTCACAGTATCACATTTTCTAAATTGTCAGCCCCATCTCTCCCCCTGACCCATAGCTTCTTTACATTTAACTGATTCTCTCCCACCCCCATCTCCCTCTGGGATTTTTATTGTGTATATGGAGCTATCTGTTCTCCCTCAGGCTGTCCTTCCTTTACCTACCTTTTTATTCTAGTCTAAGGTTTTTCAACTTTGTCACTATTGGCATTTTGGCCCAGATAATTCTCTGTCGTGGGGGCTGTCCTGTGCTTTGTAGGGTGTTTAGCTGCATCACTGGCCTCTATGCACTAGATACCATTAGTGTGAGGAGCCCTCAAAAAGTTCGAGGAAAAATAGAATTGAGAGTTAATATGAATCTTTCCATGAACTTTTTGAAGTATGCTTGTACTCTTTCTACCCCATGTTTTGACCACCAAAAATATCCCTAGGTAGTTCCAAACGTTCCTTGGAGGGCCAAATTCCCCTTAGATGAGAACGACCTATTCTATTTTTGGATGATCGCCTATAACACCGACATTGCTTGTTAACTGGAATGTCAGAAGCAGCTCATCAAAGCAAATAGCAGCTCCTCATAGCGAGTCCACCGTGAAATGAATGCACAGCCCATGCTTCATAGGTTTGGTTAATTGTTCCCTCTACTGAGGGTTAGTGGCCTCGGTCCAATCCCCCTCTTCTCCGCAGCTGCCTCACAATTCCAGCAGAAAAGGACCTGATAGACCCTCAGTTTTTTTCTAGTCTAGAGCTAGCATTCTGCACCCTCTGTATGGCAGTGCTGGAGGGGCTGAGGGCAGGGGCACACATCCAGCTACCTGGGGAGGGACAGAGTGAAATGACAAGGTAGACGCTGTGGTAATGAGGACAGGAAGCTTTATTTTTCACACAGGCACAGGCACTGCCAGTCAGGCTGGTGCAGGGGTGGGGGTTCTGTGAGACCCTGGCCATCAGACAGGCAGAGTCTTCTGGGGAGAGCTTGGAACCCTGGGCAGGAATAGCCCCAGCTCAGCCTGTGAAAGCAAGAACAGGGTACCTGGGAAAGGACGTGTCAGGCTGGGGCTTTTCCTTGGTCTTTGAGATTCTTGTTTCCTTTAAATCGCTTGTCTCAGCATCAGGATCCAGGTCAGCAGCAGCCCCCAGAGCTGTGGCCGCAGCCGGAGCCCCCAGACTGCTGACCCCTGCCACTGTCGCAGGAGTCGGAGCTCTGGCGCCGGCAGCGGTGGGACCTGCGGCGCCTGTGGTGGCTCAGTAAGCAGCCGCCCTCAGAGCTGGGGCCACTGCAGCCCCCCGAGCTTGGAGCACAGCTGGAGGAGGCTGGAGGCAGGCACTGTGCTGGGCTCTTTGGGGGGCATTTGGGTGAGGGGCACTTGGGTGGGGGCTGGCACTGCTGCTGGCTCTGCTGGCAGGACATCTCGGCAGGAGGTCAGGGAGTCTGGACAAAACAAGGCAAGTTGTCAGATCAAAATGTACAGTCCACTGTCTGCCCGCCTCTAAGACCAGCTGCTTCCTGATGCAGGAGCTGCAGGAAGGAGGACGAGGGAAGCTGGTTTGGTGTTGGTGGGATCACGCCGATCACGCTGGATGCCTCCTCTTTGCTCCCCACCCAGGACAGATCGCTGCCAGTCTACGTGGGCATCCGAGCTCTCGTATCTCCCAAAAACACCTAGGGATGAACCCATTGGGAACAGCATTGTGGAGGACAGATGTGAATATCTATTCATGGTCATGGATAGAAAGAGGATGGGAGGGAGTGCTGAGTCCCCGTGGCCATGGCAGGTCATGCAAGTTCTGTCCCGTCCCACACGGGCTCCCTCCTGACCTCACTCCCCCATTGCTCCTCTCTGGGCCCCATCTCTGGCTCTTCCTTCCAGACCCCTCTGTTTCCCTCTCCTCTGCTGCGACTTAGCTTTCTGCTCCAACATCTGAGACTGAGTCCTGTCCCCTGCTGGACACTTACCAGATGCAGCGAGGCAGGAGAAGAGAAGGCTGTTCCTGAGGAGGCTGTGGATGAGGAGCCAGGGTGGGAGCGCTTTTATCCTGTGCAGGGTTCGTGAGGCACAGCCCGGGCATGCTGCTGCTTTCACAACCGGGTGACTGCCAGGCACACCCCAAGTCTGGGTGAGCCTTTTCCTGGGCTCTTCCATAATGTTCAGCTAATGAGATTGAACCAGGAAACAGCATGACTATTGACACACCTCCTCCGGGCCTCCTGGGAGCCTCTCACTCCTTCTTTCCTCCCTCCTTCCCTCCCTTTCTTCAGAGCAGAATCTGTTTCATGTACTTTCCTGGGAATGGAAATGGAATTCTATGACAGAATTCTTTCTTAAGTTTATGGTCTAACAGGACAGACACACACAGAGACAAATAAATAAATAACCAAACAAATTCCAAGTGATAAATGTTGTAATATATGCGAAGTCCCCAGGCTACCCAGTGACCATGGCCTTCAGATGTAATCCCTGCTGCCTTCTGGGCTCCTGTCTGTGAGCGCCTGGGCACGCGGTGGGGGAGTGTGCTGGGGCCTGCGTTATGGAGCCCCTGTACGGCCACATGGCACTTAGGAGCAGCATGGGGTTTCTGGACATGAAATGACAGAAGTAAGTTAGCTTTTAATGGACAAATAAATAAATTGTACAGAGTTAAAATGTCCTCCTTTTGTTTTTAATCAATTCATGTAAACCGAAGCCTATTTGTCCACTTGAGTTTATTGTAATACCATGCTATATTCAAAACATAAAATAAAATTAGGACTACAAATAAACTTTAATAGTGCATATATAATTTAAATACTTTTTACTATTAAAATAATATTAAATCATGGATTTATATTTTGTTACAGAGACAAATGACCATGGCCTATTGTTAATTGATGAAAAGCAGGTGGTAACGCTGTATACACAGTTAATTAAATGATATTTTGAATGGGACCTTTTTATAGTGAGTGTGTTTTATTCTTTATGACCATTAAAACCTATAGGACCGGCCTCCTGCCTTTAGACGATTGCGTTTTCCTCACTCACCCATGCTGAAACATAGAGACCCCCTGGTTTATTTCAAGGCCCTGTCGGGAAGGACTTGCAGTGAACTCCAGCAGTGTTAGCTCCCGGTGGAGGTGGGGAGGAGACAGCTGGGAAGAAGCTTATGCCCTCACTGACGTGATCCTGTCTCCACAATGACCTTCTTCATCCCACGGAGGCCATACTTTCAGTCTCAGCCTCATTTCAGTTCTGGCACTGTTTCCTTCATGCTATTGAGAGCCCCACTGCTAGATACTGGACTGGAAAGGGGAAAGTCTGAGGGATGACGACAGACAGCGCTTTCCATGCAGACAGTGGAGAAGATGAACAGGGAGAGAACAGTGGAAAACACGTTTTAATTCTCATCAGCTTTGCTGGATGGGGCAGCCTTAGACAATGCCACATGGGTAGGGTTACTCTCCCTCCTGGTTTACCTGGGGAGTCCTAGTCTACGATTGAGTCCTCGTGTAATTACTCCATAGCATCTTGGTTTGGACCATCATACAGAGAGAAGAGGTCACCCTAATGGAAGCTGTGCTACAGCACATTTGGGGTCCTCAAGAAGGCATGGCCCCACCTTTAGTTGTGACCAGGATGGGGACATCACCCACTGTCTTTTCTCCCACAGACCTTATCTTCCTCTTTCCTAACTGCCATCGTCAACCCTTCCTCCTGAGCTCCTTCTCATTCAGTCACCCCCACATCTGTGTATTCAACAAACTGTAACCGAGTATCAGGTGTGGGTCAGGCGCTGTGCTCAGCGCTGGGGATACCACTGCAGAGGAGAGAGACACAGCCAGCTGCCCTCACAGGGCTGACCGACAACCCAGCCATGGAGAAAGGCACCAAATGACGAATTACAGCTGTCGTGTATGTTAAAGAGAAATTGCAGCTTCTGGGGGGCATGTAAGAAAAAGTCTAACTTCATCTAGGGGTTCAGATCTTTCTGCAGAAACGTAGTTTTTACACTCGACTTGTGGTTCAATAGAAGCAAGAACAAAGCATCTTTTTGGTTTAAATGGGTATAATCTTTAGTTGTTGGGAAACAACAACTGAAGAGTAACATTAATCTCAATGGTTGGGTAAGTTCCAAAGTTTCTAGTGACTCTCAGTGGGGAGAGGAGGCTTCTTACCTCCTCTGAGCAGGGTGGACATTGAGTATGTGAGCGGGGCAGGAGTGGGGGAGTGGGGCGTACTGTGTGTTCAGAGACTGTCAGGCTGCCTTGTGCTACCACGTGACACATACACAAGTCAAGAAATTACGCAGAGACACTGTGACTATGCGGATCATTGGTCATTTCCAGGTACTGTAATGTAGGCAAATATAGTTATTGTGATCTCACTTTGTACTCAGAGGCTGAAGAAATCATCTCATGTTTAGGTTTCGTGTTTTAAGATATGCTCATAATTTGCAAAAGTGTGCCTTTCTTGTAAATGTAAAAACATCCAGACTGGCCAGCAACTCTGAGGCGAGGCTTGAAGTAGTTGAGACACTACCACACTCACATCAGACTAAAGGGAAACCAAAAACATATGGTCATTTTGACAGATGCAGAAAAAGCATTTGACATAAACCATTATCAATTCATGATTTTTTTTTTAAAAAAAACCTCTCTGCAAATAAGGAACAGAAGGGAATATCCTCAATGTGATGAAGGATATCAGTAAAAAACCTACAGCTAATATCATAGTTAATAGTGAGGGAGTGGATTGTTGTTCTTTCCTCCTAAGAACAAGAGCAAGGCAAAGGCAGATCCGTGGAGCACAGAGTCCAAAAATAGAGCCAGATGTATGATTATTTATTTTAAACAGAGGTACAAAGGCAACTGACTGGAGGAAAGATAGTCATTTCAACAAATGATGTTGAAAAAATTGGACATTCTTACGTTAAAAATCATTCCTAATGCTATATACAAAAATAACTCAATGTGAGCAACAGACCAAAATGCAGAATATGAAAGTGCAAAACTTCTAGAATAAAACGTAAGAGAAAATAAATTGTGACTGGGTTATGCGAAAGTTTTTCAGATAGGTCAAAAGAAAAATATTGGACTTCAGCAAAATTAAAAACTGCTGCTTTTCAGAAGACACTTAAAAATAAGAAAACGTATAGACTTGAATAAAATATTTGTAGAAGATATATTTGATTAAGGACTTGTTTTCGGAATATTTTAAAAATGCTTAAAAACCAATAAAGGGAAACAGACAACCTGATTAAAAACTGGGCAAAGACACAGAAAGAGAAATAACCACATGTCCTCACTCATAAGCGGGAGCTAAAAAAAATACACGATAAAAAAAGAAAGAAAGATATAATAATCACAATAATTCATTGAACTTTCAAAAGGAGAGAGTAGAACTGAGGCTAATAGAGATGGGAAAGGGAGAAGGGCAGGTGAGGTTAGAGAGAAATTGGTAAAGGGCTACAAAAAATATTGATTGAACTTTCAAAAGGAGAGAGTAGAACTGAGGCTAATAGAGATGGGAAAGGGAGAAGGGCGGGTGAGGTTAGAGAGAAATTGGTAAAGGGCTACAAAAAATATTGCATTGTGTAGTGTTGAATATACTAATTATCCTGATTTGAGCATCACATATTGCATGCAGGTAATGATATTCAATGCTGTACCCCGCAGATATGTACAATCACTTATGTTTCAATAAATAATAAAAAAATGGGCAAAATACTTCAAGAGACATTTCAACAAAGATACATGGATGGCAAATAAGCACATGAAAAGAAACTCAACATTATTAGTCATTAGGGAAACACAAACCTAAAGCAAAACTAGATATCGCTCCACATTTATTGGTCAAAATAAAAATATCTGAGAATACCAACTACTATCAAGGATGTGGAGCAACTAGAACTTTTGACCATTGCTGGTGGAAATGCACAATCGTACAGCCACCTTGGAAAACAGTTTAGCAGTTTCTTAAAAAATTGAACATTCACTTACTATTTGCCCCAGAAATCTTATTTTTAGATATTTAGCCAAGAGAAATAAAATTTACATCTACAGAGAAACCTGTAGGCTAATATTTATAGTGGTTTTATTTATTACTCTCTTGAACTTGAAACAACCCAAATGTCTTTCAACTGGTGAATGGAGATATATATATATATATATATATATAAATATAAAAGGGACATCTACACAATGGAATTATACTTAATGATAAAAAAGAATGAACTACTCATACATGAAACGACAGGAGTGAATCTCAAATGCATTATTCTACGTGAAAGATGCCAAGCTTTAAATGCTATATATTATATGATTCCAATTATATGACATTCTGGAAAAGACAAAATTATAAAAACTGAAAATAGACCAGTGGTTGCCAAAGGCTGGTAAGGGGAATGTTTGACTACATAGGCACATGAGGGAATATTATGAGGTGATGAAACTCTTCTATATCCTAATAATAGTGGTGTTTACATGACTGTATATGTTAGTCAAAGGTCATTGAAACGGATACTAAATGGGGTGATTATTTTGGTATGTAAATAATACCTCAAAAAATCTAAACAGAAAAACAACAATTAAAAATAATACTTTTAGGAATAAATAAAAACTGATAAAATATACAGAAAAGGAAGTAAAGAATAATAAATACAAGATTTAGGACTATGGTGACATCAGATGTGACAGGCAGAGGCGTGGGTTTAAGGGTGATCTACGTGGGTACATATGACATACTATCAAAGTTCTCGTTTTCACTTGGGTGGTGGATTTTTGTGTGTTTGTTATTTACATAGCAGATAGGCATTTAAGCAGATAGATACATTAATAAAGAGGCGCCAGCATAGACCAATGTTGAGCATATCTTATGAACAAAGGATTATTGTTAATCCAAAACCATGCACCTAAAATTCCATAGTAAGGACACTAAATGATGTAAACTCCAGGAATAAATATCTTCTCAAGGTGTTGTTTTCAGCTTGCTCATCTCATCTTCCCCAAGAATGACTCAGCTGCTTTTCACAGCATCAGTCACATGATG